CCATCTTCCTCGGGGCTTCCTCTTCCCCCCCCCCCCCCCCCGCATCATTCAACTGAAGAGCTTGGGCTCCATCTTGCCTTTGGTTCCCCGCCATTTCTACTACAACGATGGGTTCAACTTCCACTTCTTCAACCTCTTCTCCACTAACACCGGGACCCAAATGTTGTCCCCTTCTTTCACTCCTTCTCTTTGCCTCCGCTAGCTCTCTCTCCCTTGCTAGGAGCGGAGAGTTTGGTTTATGTCCTCGTCAAGTGGTAGCAAAGGTGTCGGGTTACTCCGGGTCATGCACCACCTACACACGATCGGAAAACACACCAAGTCTAGCACAAGCAAAGCACACACACTTTCAAAAATGGAAATTAAAAAGCTAGATTAATACCAAAAAACTTTTCCAAGATAACAGACCGTGTTCCCCGGCTACGACGCCAAAAACTTGACTCGTCCCGAATACCACAATAATTTCCCGCCTAAGGTCGAAGTATAAACCTTAGTCGGGTGCAGTACAGGATAAGTATGTTTAAATATCAACCCGGGTCGGTCTGTCTACCCCTACTTCAGTCATTTAAATATCAACCCGGGTCGGTTCATCTACCCCTACACAAAGGAAGGCATGAATAGAGCTTTAGACAGTTTCAAGCATAGGTGGGGAGTACAGTATCCACGAATTTGGAGGTACTTGTCAGCTGTGTGGTTACCAAACAGGCACATCTAGGCAACATGTTATTCAAACCAAGTGCGATAGTTGGGTAATAAAAGCCCAAATTAGGTTGAATCCGCTCATGCCTCCCTCAAGAAGTGGCTTCAATCATCTACTGGTGCAATCGACACAATTAGTCTCTTAATAAATCTTCATTTTTGTCTTCTTTAGAATTTTCACTTAATCTAGTATCCTAATTTTCTTTCTTTGTTTGTAGGTTTATAAGAAGAACCATGATTACATTGAGGCTCAGCAGCTTCAAATCCAAAAGCTTCTAGAGGATTCTAGATTAAAGAAGATGGTACTAGCAGACGGAAGACCATATCGGGAGTTGCATACAAACGTCACTCCAGAGGCTATGAGGTTGATGCTCATCGAGGTAGAAGTGGAAGGAGCAAGTTGTACATGTAAGTTTCCTGCTATGCTATCCTTGGTCTCCCATGTAGATGTGCAATGCAGTTAGCACGTTCTGAAAAGTGGGACATTGCCCAATATAAGGTGTTGGCTTTTTTGACCATTATGAACTATCGTGAACCTCCTACTCGGGCAAAGTGGGATGACCATAGTTATTACCATTGTGATGTCTTCCAAGGTCTAGTACAAGAGGTTCTTGATAGGGGAGATGCGACCATTCGAGGGGCTATTGGCTTACTTCAGAGTCATCTTCATCCTGAAAATGATGGCATTGATGAGCCGCATGGGGTACAGCTCCAACCCGGTCACCCGAGGACATCGACAACACGAAACCTATCTCACTTCGAGCATGTGGAGAGGAGATGGGGGAGGAGAAGTTCGAGACCTCCGACCACAACACCAGACAATGACCAGAGGACAGGTAGGTTCTACTTTTTGGGAAATTTGTGTTCAGTTGTGTACAATATGATGTAGAACTAACTTATTTTTGTAAATGATATAAGTGGTACCCCATATATACACACACACACACACACACCAACTTTGAGTCTACACATACGGATGGGACGGAGCTGGATACCCAAACGGTTACAGGTTAGAAGTAGTGCCCCTATTTTACCTTCAATAAATTTTATACCTATTGTATTAATTCATTATGTTGTGTATTTTGGGACAAATGGTGCCCCGAGGAGGGTGGTCAGGACTCCCAATACTGGTTGGCGGAGTTACCTGTGGTTGCATTGTTTGGAAACATACGTGCAACCATATGTTCGTGGTTGGTTCGACCCACAACCAGATGGACATTGTGGATTTCGAGCAATATCACAAGCACTTACCGGGGACCAAAACAATTGGTTGCAGATGAGACGCGCTGTTGTAGAAGAGCTTGAAGCTCAACTTGAGCTTTACAGAGAATACTACGATGGAATTTCCTACATAATAGATAATGGGCTTCGGCGTTGCAAGTGGACTCGAAATGGTGGTTGTGGCGTTACCGACATGATGGATAATGTGGAACTTTTCGTCTTTGTCACCTTGCATTCATGGGAAATTGCTGTCTACAGTCAAGGCGGTCGTTATATCGTGCTACCTGTGATTGCCTCACCAGGAGTAACGTTGGAACTATCCCTGTCATTTGATGGTGGCAATCGATGCATCGATTCCATCAGCATGGCAAGTAATCTCACTCGTTGGATGCATGTTGTGTAGGTCGGATGGATTACCAACCCTGTCATTTGATGATGTCAATAGATGTATTGTTCCCATCATCATGCTAGCAAATATTTGTTCATATATGTTGGGCTTAGGTTTAGAATGGACATTGATTTTAGTTTAATTCGTTATGTTATAAGTTAGGGTTAGCAACTTTTGTGACCACATGGGATCGTATCACTACGTTTTACGGAATGTCATTGGGTGCGTCTTGACTTTTGACCTGGTCAAGTTCCATTGCCTCCGATTAATGGGCTTTGGCCTATTTATCATGATACTAGTGTCCATGGTTAGGACCAATTCTTCTCACAAGAAAGTCAATTTAATGATAGTTTAAACCCACAAGGTTGAAGATTAGATGTATTGGATGCAACAGTTGTAGTCATTGTATTGGATGCAACTTTTGATTTACTATTTTAGAAATGCAAAAAAAAAAAAAAACAATCATCAGAAAATACCACAATCATCTGAAAATTAACGAAGGTTTCCAACTGTTGTAGAAGAGTTTGAAGCTCAACCTGAGCTTTACAGAGAATACTACGATGGAATTTCCGATAGAATAGACAATGGGCTTCGGCGTTGCAGGTGGACTTGAAATGGTGGTTGTGGCGTTACCCACTAGATGGATACTGTGGAGCTTTTCGTTTTTGCCATCTTGCATTCATGGGCAATTGCTGTCTATAGTCAAGGCGGTCGTTATATCGTGCTACCTGTGATTGCCTCACCAGGAGTAACAAGACCACATGGGATCGTATTACTACATTTTACGAAATGTCATTGGGTGCGTTCTCACTTTCAACCTGGTCAAGTTCCATTGTCTCCGATTAATGAGCTTTGGCCTATTTATCATGATACTAGTGTCCATGGTTAGGACCAATTCTTCTCACAAGAACATCAATTTTTATGATAGTTTAAACCCACAAGGTTGAAGATTAGATGTAGTTGTAGTCATTGTATTGGATGCAACTTTTGATTTACTATTTTAGAAATGCCAAAAAAAAAACCAATCATCTGAAAATACGACAATCATTTGAAAATTAACGGAGGTTTCCAACTGTTAAACCATCGTCCGAGAATACCACAATCATCTCACATTCAAAGACAAACTAGCAATTCGAAGTCAAAAAATAAAGTACAAGGATAACAAACTGATAGTCCAAGGATAACAATCTAGAAATTCCACAATCTACCAAGGGTCTAAGACGCCGCTCCGACATACTGGTCATACAATTCGTGAACCACACTCATCATATCGTAATACTCAGATGCGTGCTCCAAATAGTGATTCTTGTCCCTCACCTGCAACACGGGACCAAGCCTGTCCACAATTTCCTTCTTCAACGGTAAATACAAAAATAATTTCTGATAATTGTTTACAATTTCATATCATTTTCTATAATTTTATCATTATTTTAAAATTTTAAAATTATTTTTTGATAATTTCTTAACGTTATTTACAATTTTCACTGTTCGGCTACTATTATTTTTTTCTTCATAAATTTTTATACTTATTAACACTAATTACAAATTTACAGATTATATTTTCTAAAATTTAATACTTTTTAAAATATTTTAGATAATTCCTAGTAATTTTTTAACATTATTCAAAATATTATATAGATAATTAAAATCATATAAATAATTAGGATATAATTTTTTATAATTAATTATAAATTTTAAAATTATTTCTATTTAATTAAAATTTATTTCTAATTATTACTTAATTTACAATTTTTAATAACAATTTTTATTAATTAATTGACCGTGGGCAAACCAAAAATTGACCGAGGTCTGATCGTGGGCCAATCAAACGTTGATCGCGGTTTGACCGCATGCCAAACGAAAGTTGATTACCGTGGGTCAAACGAACGTTGACCGTGGTTTGACCGCGAGTCAAACGATCATCTTGGGTGGTTGTTAGACAGACGACGAGAGGACAGATCACGACGAGGAGACATGCGACTCCCGACTGATGTGGAGGCGTGGGACTTGAGGCGCGACTGGAGGAGCGGCGGACGGCGCAGCGAACGATGAGTGGAGCAGCGGCGGCCGACGATGCAAATTCCGACGTGGGGGCGGCGGTTCGAACTTCGACATGGGGGCGACCATCTTTACTAGCCGACAGAGAAGAGGTCGAGTTGGGGAAGGGTTTGGGAGGGTGAGAGGTTTTTTGTTTTGTGTTTGATTTTAAAATTCAAAATGGGTAATTTGATAAAATACGTATTAAGTAGTTAAGAAGATAAATAATAATTTTGAGGACCAACATTAACCATTCAATTTTTTAAACCCCTCTAGCCAAAAAAGAAGTAGAAAGATAATACAGAAAGATGGGTTTGGAAGTGTGGGTCCCAGAATATAGGGGCAAGTGGGACCCTTGGGTTGCTATCTCTCTCACCATTTGTGGGGTACCTAACCACTCCAAATGTGGCAAAAGAATCATGCAAGCACAGTCTGTAATTAGAATACAGAGCCATGCAAACTTGCCGTTTCCAGAGACCCTCTCTTTCTCTCTTTTCTTCCCCTCTGACCTCTCTCTTGCCATTTGTGCTCGATAACGCCTTCTTTCTTTCTTTCTTTCTTTCTTTCTTTCTAGGAGACGCCCTTTCTCTCTCCCTCTCGCTATAAACCCTTTTATCTTCCTCTATATTTAGCACTACCAAATAGAGCCAATTTCCATTTATCTCTGTACCCAGGGAAAGCAAAGTTCTCTACTTTCCCCCCTTTTTCTATTTACAACCCTCCTCTCCCGGTTTTCTCTATGTTCTTAAATATTGGATGATTTTGAGGGGGCTTTGAAGAGGAAAAGTTACAGTCTTTTTTATGTTCTCTATTGTAGGGGGTGTTCTCTTTTTTGTGTGGAATCCGCTGGGTTTTTCAGGGGTTTGAGGAAAATGGGGAGAGGGAAGATTGAGATCAAAAGGATTGAGAATGCAAATAGCAGGCAAGTCACCTTCTCCAAGAGGAGAACTGGGTTGCTGAAAAAAGCTCAGGAGCTTGCCATCCTCTGTGATGCTGAGGTTGCTGTCATCATCTTCTCAAATACTGGAAAGCTCTTTGAGTTCTCCAGCTCTGGGTAGGTTCTTAAGTTTTGCCACCCCCTTCTTTCCTTTTCTCTTTCCAGTTTGGCCCTAAAAAAGGAAAAAAGTTGCTTGCTTTTTGCCATGGAACATGAACTTCTTTGGGTGCCTGCATGTCTCAATGTGGGTAAATTGGTCTTGAATGGGGATAGAGTTTTCAGTTATTTTGTCATGAACCGAAGTCCATTATGTTTAGAGTTTTGGTTTTGTTCTTTTTAAATTGTTATTCTTCTTCTGTTGAGGGAGTTGGACATGACATATGACCTTTGCATGCTGCTGGTGTCTGGCATTGGTAGACAAAGATAGAAGATGAGATTGGTTAATGTATTTTATATTTTCTTTCTTGTCTTTGTTTTCCCGACTAGAAACTTAAATTAAGAAATTTTCCAAACTCTTTTCCTTTCCTCCTCTTGTATTTGGTCCTAATTTGATGCTGGCTCCATAGCCAGGGTTTTGGAATTTGCAGCAGGTGGTGCTCTTTGCATGTTGCCCTCTGATTATGAATATTTCGGAATGAAGGGGTTTAATTATTTCCTTCCTTGTGCCCCTCTTTTCCCTTGCCCTCTTTTCAGCTGTTCACCCTTCCTTTACTGTAATCTGTCTGCGCATCAATGTTCTGATATGGCTCTTTCTGCTTACTTCTTTTCTTTTCCCTGGCAATTGATTAAATGCCTGGAATGCGCATTATAATACTACTGTGCAAGTGCAAAATCTCATATTGGGTCTGGCCTTTGTCAGTCAGTCGGTTTCCTTTAGATGCGTATTCTCTGTTTTCCTTGGATAGTCTTAGTTTTGGCCTTCCCATTCTCAACTTTGCATCTCAAGTGGACTGACATTCTTGTTTTTGCTAACAATTTCTTTCTTCCTTCTGGTGGCCTGCTTTCCTAAAACAACTACCAAAGCTCTTCCAAGAAGCGTTGTGAGATTTTTGAAGGATTAGAAATGTAGGCTAGGCTGTTTGTTCCAAGGGAAGAATTCTAAGATGTGCTTCCGCCTTTAGTAGTAATTCACATGCTGAAGCTACAATCCGAGATGACTAATTTATTTGCCCTGCCATCTCATAGATCAATATAATGCAAAATTGATTGAGTTGTCTGGAACTGACTGACTGATCTGTCCTTTTCTTTTTGAAGCATGAAGAGAACTCTTACTAGGTATTACAAGTGTATGGATTCTTCAGAGCCTACGAAACTCGAACAACAGAAAACAGAGGTAACCTGTTCGCTTAGACCATGTTTCACAATAAGAATATGGTATCGTTATGTTTGTTCGATTTTCTATCTATGATCTCCAGATCCAAGTACGGACCACCATTCCCAAGTGCACATTTCTCCCCGAGAAACCGGATTTAAAGGAATTGGATATTCTCAAAGACGAGATTGCAAAGTTACAAGTGAAACAGCTGTATGCATTCTCTCTGACTCTCTAAGTTGATACACTGAATACACCAGTTTAGGGTGTCACTCTATTGGAAACTAAAGCACGTGCATCTCTCTGTGGGTCATGTTTCTCTAGGAGGCTCTTGGGGAAGGACTTGAATGGCTTGAGCTTGAAAGAGTTGCAGCAACTAGAACAGCAACTATCCGATGGCTTGTTATGTGTGAAAGATAAAAAGGTTTAACTATAGCTATGCATCAAAGGTTCTCTTAATTGTCAAGTGTCAGGCGTCGTAGCTTTTAGATTTTGGCTTCCTAAATGCATAGAGAAGTTCATCTTGTTTCAGGAGAAACTGCTGATGGAGCAACTTGAGCTGTCAAGAGTTCAGGTAAACTTCAATCCTTGAAACCCATTCACAGGTCATCAGAACGTGAACTGGCTGATCCAAACTGACGAGCCTGCTCAAATTTTGATCTGCTTTCTCAGGAACAACGGGCAGTGCTAGAGAACGAGACTTTGCGCAGACAGGTAAGTTATACTTTGCATCATCCAAAATGAGTATGAAGCTTGTTAATCCTCCACGCCTGACTCTCAGAAAAGAAGACTGCCTTATTTTTCCCCGTCTTGTGCCAAAAGGTTGAGGAGCTTCAAGGTTTGTTCCCATGTGGTAATCGATTGGCACCGAGTTACCTTGAATTCCAATCAGTGGAACAAAAGAACTCCAGCATAACCAATGGCTGCAGAAGCCCTGATGTTGCATATAACTGCTCAACTGAGAGGGGAGATTCAGACACCACCTTGCATTTAGGGTAACTTCCCTTTTGTCCGTGGAAAGAGCTTCCATTTCTGTCTGTCATGGAACATAATGACTTGGTCTTTCTTACATGTTTGCTTGAATTTCATTTGCTTTGTCAGGCTTCCAAACGATGTTTACCACCGCAAGAGGAAGGCACCTGAGACAGAAAGCTGCTCAAATGAATCGGAGAGCCGATTAGGCCTTGTGTAGCTTAAATTGGCAAATGTCTGTACTTCCTTGTTAATAGAAACAGACCGAAGCAGGAAATGCAGTGAGCATTGCTAACTCTCTAGTAGTTTCTCTCTAGCGGTAAGCAATTCAGAGAGGGTGATGAATTGTTTATAGAAGAACGTAGTAACGTCCCCTTTTTTGTAGGAAACATCCCAAAGTTTCAAGGGGTTAGCTGTGAAACCTTTCTCGGATAGGATAGGAGAAGTTGGTAGTAATTTGATCATCTGCTAGTCCAGTTCAGTTTCTTGTTATTCCCCCAGACAGATTTAATTCAGAATGGCTTATTTCTATTTTCTACTGTGAACTCTTCGCTCTTTGCTGCTAAAAATATGCTAATTTCTATTCTTTATATGCTCCACTAAATTCCTGCTTAATTTCATGGGAAACTGAACAGATCATACTCAGGCAAACTAAGATTGAGAGCAACAAACCATTATATTACAGATACATGCATACACTATCGATCCCATTTACAGATGAGTCTAACTATGTAATGTAACACACAAAATTCTGTACAAACAATTTGCAAACGAAGAAGTTATTAAAAATCCTAAGCAGATGAGTCTAACTATGTAATTGATCCTAAATTCAAACCCGACTAATACTAATACTGCTCCCCATGACGAAAACGGCGAAGCAGTTCATTCCTTCCAACCAAGATTTCAGAGAAAAGCCGATCCACATCCTTTCTCAACCCATCAAGCAGCTCCTCAAACACCTCAAGCTTCCTCTCCATCTCCTCTGCTGCCACACCACATCCTCCCCTGTTCGATGAAATCTCAGCTGCAACTTTAACAGCCGACTCATTGAGATCCCTAACCTCTTTCGCGACGATCCCTTTCTCCATGACGATCCCCGACACGACCGAGTCAACGCTTGCCAAAACAGCCACGGAAATCGGCCTCCTGGTTTCCAGGTAAGCTTTAGCATCTCCACTCAAACAAGCAACAAGGATGGAAGTAACCCAGAAGCCAACGGTCTTCATCTCCATCAGGGCTTCGTGGATTATCGCCTCTCTCTCGCACAAAGATGCAACTTTTCCATCTACATCCCCATTTTCCTCGCGATATGTGACCTTGTTGCACGAACTCGACAGCTGGGTTGTCTTGAGCCGATCCAGGGCCGAAGAAGGCGAGCCGTCGATGAGAGCCAGAGCGTGAGAGAAAGAGAGCCGGGACTGACCCAATGAGGACAGTGACGAGCTGATGGAATTGAGGAGGTCCAGCAGGCTCAAGCTCTGGCTAAGGTATTCGCGGACGGATCCTTGTGCCCATTTGCTCATGGGATGGTCCAGATCCATCACCAGCTTGGCGAAGGCCTTGTTGACCACGGGTAACAACTCGAAACAGTTGTGAACCCATTGAAGGGAGATTTCGAGCCCTGGTTTTGGGGTTAGCAGCAATTTGGTGAAAGAGCTGGAGACTTGTGATCGGAAAGACTGGAGAGCGGTCCGTAACGCCTCTGGCGGCGGCGGATCATCCCGCTGCTGCTGCTTGTGATGATGGTAGTGATTCTCCAGCTTAGAATAGAGCTTGTTGATCTTCTGAATCAATAGTACCATTTGAGACAGAGGTGAGATGAAGAGGATTTGGTAAGGAAATAAAGAGGGTTGGAGATTAGGTTTGATTCGGGTGTTTTATATTGTTGTAGTTGACAAGTTGGTGTCTTGTCAAGCTTTTTCGTGTGCGCGAATTAATGGCGGAAACAAGTAGCCCATTGGTCCCACCTCTCCTTGCCATTGGCCGCGGGTTTGAAGGTTGAGGAAAAAACAGGGGAACAGAGGAAACCAACAAAGATGGGTCAGAGTTTGCAAATTGTGACCTTGTTCTTTCTTCCTGCCCTTTTCCTTTGTATAGCCATTTGGATAAGGTTAATTTTATTACGGTTTGATCAACACTCGATATGCTTCTATTGTAAGGAAAAGAAAAAAAAAATATCTACTAGGGTTAGAACTTAGGCTAACTTCAATGGAGCCTTTATAAATGGAGGAGTCTCTATATTTGGGGAAAAGTTAGTTTCAATGAAGTCTCTATAAATGGAGGAGTCTCTATTAGGAATGGCAATGGGGCAGGTCCGGGGCGGGTTTCTTGGTACCCAGACCCGCCCCGTGCCAGGTCGGGTAATTGATCACGGGTCACGGGTCGGGGCAGGCCGACCCAATGGGTATGCAATTTATATGAAAACATTAGAAATATTCATTATTTTTATTATAAGACTAAGAAAACAAACAATATTATGACAATTGTAGATAAATTATTGGAGAAATTGAGGTTTTTACTAATTTACAACTTTATTATAGCTAAGATATGATGCAATAAAAGGAAAATTCTAAGTAATTTGACTAAGATTACATGTAATTTAGACAAGAACGGGTCAAGAATGGGGCGGGTCAGGGCAGGTCGGATCGATGAGACTACCCATGCCCGCCCCGTCCCGCCTACAGGGCGGGTCGGACCCGCCCCAAAACAGGCACTACAACAAATTCGTCCTATTATGACAAAACAAATTTGTCATATTAGATACTCATTTTGTCATAGTAGCTATAATATGACAAAAGGTGTTGTCACAAAGGTTTGTCATTTTATCGCCGTCAAGATAGGTCAAATGTGACAAAAATTTTAAACAAGGTTGTCACATTTGCTTTTAGTATAACTAGAGGTTCTGGGTAGTCTATTGTGACAAACATAGATGTTATGACGACATATTTTGTCATTACAGTTGTCATAATATGGTGATTTTGAGAGAATTGTTTGTCATATTACACAATTATATTTTTTCATAACTGTATATTGTGACGACTGCATTTTGTCATAAGTGTAGACAAGGATATTTATTTTCCATCGATTGTGCCCAACTCGCAAATCCAAATTCATAAACAGGAACTCACAAATCCAGCAAAGCTTTGTAATCACAATTTTTTCTTCATTCACAAACCCAGAAAATCATTCACAATCCTATAAGATTTTCACAAACCCAGAAAAGTTTCGCAAACCCAGAAAAGCTTTGCTAACCCAGCAATTGAAACCCTTCCAAACTAACCAAATCCAGAATTCCTCCTTATACTCCTCAAACACAGAATTGGAACCCCCAGAAAGTAACAAACACAAGGAAAAAAAACGCATGCATCAGAATCCTTCTCCCACAGTGGCCGCTAGTCTCGCACCGAACCTTGTACTCGTTGATCTCCAACCGGCCTTAGACTAGTCAATCTCGGCCTTAGGCTCGTCAATATTTGTCTCGGGCATCTTCTCCTCCTACCTCCGCAGCCTCGCCCTCATCCCCCACCTCGCTGAAACCCCTTTATCTGCCGAAGCAAAACCTAAAAAAAAAAAAAAAAAAAAGATTAAGCCAGACTTGTCCAATCAATGCTCTCACCGGAACTCTCTGCCATCGCGGGCTCCGATCCGCCTGTCACCTCTTGAGCTCGGCGCCATCGTTGCATGTCAATCTCTCCGCTCGTCGCCTCTCGATCTCTCCACCCCTTGCCTCTCGATCTCTCTGCCATCGTCGCCGGATCTCGACAATCGTTGCCCTCTCAATCTCTCTGTCAGCGTCGCTGGTTATCGCAAGAGGAGGCAGCTAGCGGCGGTCTTTTTGAGAGAGGAAGGAAGAGATGAAAGCTTTTTCGTCTTTGAGTGCAGAGGAGTAGGTGAAGGGTCGTTTTTTGGAGAGAACGAAGAAGGGGAGAAAAGAAGGAAAGTTTAAAAGGGGAAGAAAGAGTAAATGGGGTGAGATAAAAGAGGGAAGAGGGGCGGATGTTTAATTTGGAATTTTAGGGTAAGGGGATTTTTTTAATGGTGAGAAGGGGGAATTTTCAAATTTTTATGGGGAAAGTTTTGGCGGAAAGGAAATTTTTGGAGCCATAAATTTTGTTAAAAATGGGCGATTAAAAATTGGAGCCATAAATTTTTAGGGGAAGGTTGAAAATTGGGCGGGACTTAAATTTTTATTGTGTGGTGATTTTTGTTTTTGTTTTTTTATGCTGAACACAAGCAAATATGACGAAAATGTCTTTTTTCAAAAACGAAACCATTATATTATGACAAACATGCATTTTGTCAAAGCCGAAACCACTATATTATGACGAACACGCCCTTTTGACAGCTCCTCGTGGAATTATTTCTATCTATTGTGACAAAATACTTTGTCATTTAAACAATTTGGGAATGCATAATATGACAAAAGCTACTCTCACGATATAATTTGTCACTTTTGTGTATCTTACATTCTGATATGGGATGCCTATTGTGACAAATTTAATTATGACACCAAATATTTGTCACATCACTCACTTTAAATGACGAATTATTCTGACAACAATTTTTTTGTCACATTAGACATACCAAATAGGACATCTATTATTTTTGTCATATCAACGTACCTATTGTGACAAATAAAAAATGACAAAATAAATTTTTTGTCCTAATAGGCCAAATCTGTTGTAGTGAGGTCAAACAGGTCGGGTCGAAATTGCCATCCCTAGTCTCTATATTTGCAGGAGATCTGCAAAGGATCCCCAAATTTGGGGTGGAAATGGGGGTTCCCCAAATATAGAGACTCCCCAAAGCCCGCCACGTGGCATTTCTTTTACTTTTTAAGATTTTAGGGGTTAATTGAAGTTTAATTAGGGAATTAGTTAGGGGTTTAATTAGATAAATTATTTTCAAGTGTTGTGTGTAAACCCAAATTAGGTCCATAATTTTTCGCCAAAAAAAATTAGGCCACGGAATTTAACAAAATTCTATCGAAAAATTTGTATTTAAAAATGATGACGAATTATACAAAAATTAACAAGAACAAATTATATTAAGGCTTCGATAAGTAAAATTTTAAGTAAATGGAAAAACTTAAAAATTTAAGATCCCCAAACATGGACGTTGAAGCATTGGAGCAAAAGAAGGGAAAATGGGGATCAGTCCCCAAATTTGGGGATGAAGGCCCCAAATTTGGGGTTTTGCATTGGACTTGGCCTTAGAAATGAGCTCTGTCATTTTGGTCACGATATAGTATGTTGCAAAATCTTTAGTAGTTTGTAGGGCAAATACAAATACAACACTCGAATTATCGAAAAAATGTCACTTATGTTCTAATGTATTTAATATTCCATTTATGTTCCGAACTATGATACTTTGTGTCATTTGTATCTAGGCGGTTTTGTTGACTGTTAGATATAATGGTTGACCTGACAGTTTTGAAAACGACGTTAGATTGGGGCCGACGTTACAGCAACGTGGCAGACACAATGATGCCACATCATTTTGTGATACAAAATTAATTTTGAAAGATAAATAAAAAAGTTAAAAAGTCATTTTATTCACCCATCACGAGTTCTTCTTCCACCGGCGTCAGTTTAATTGCCACCTCCCACCAGTCGCCGATCCATTCCCCACCCATCACCTCCTGCACCAGTTCTCTCCACTACCTTGGCCCCAATTATACCCCAACTCAACTCCACGACACAGAAGAAACAACAAAAAAACAACATTCCTATGCTACGGACACATCACATACCCTCCATAATCTTCATCGGCGAGAACCAGCCCCAATTATGCCACCGCCTCCGTCAAGACGTACCACGTCTCTCTGATTTCCCTCCTCGAGCGTTTCCGGGAAGCCGTATTCCGCCTTATGATGATCTCCGCTCTAGCTGCAATAAGGGATTTTAAGTCTTAGTGATTAGAATTGGAAATTGATTTGAAGAGTTCCTGTAACACCCCGGTAATTTAGATTTTAGTTTGACCATAATAAATGATCGGTTGGATTGACGGTTACGTACGAAGGGTTGCAACTGCAGATGATGAATAGTAATAACTATTATATTATTATATATATAAGAGGGGAGAACCACTCGTCCCCCTATTTAATTCCCCCACCGCCCCATTATTATTCCCCAGGAAACCCTCCCCCCACAAATAAACCGCAACGAGTGAAGAAGCAAAGTAGCGAAGGGCGAGAAGAAAAAAGGGAAGTGAGCGCTGGTTCCTTACCTGCACTGTTGCCTCTCTGGTGCTCCGACCCCGACCCCGATTCCCCAGCTCATCTCTCTTGTGTCCCTAGGTAAGAATCGCTAATCCTTTCACCATTTCCAAACTCGATTCACCGATAGTCTAATATGAAACTCGTATTTTTGTACTATAGCTGTCGTGGTGACGTTTGAAGGTTCGAAACATCGATCGATGAGGAAATCACGTCCAAGGTCGTCGAGTCTGAACCTATGCATGTTATAGAGGTAAAGGAACTCGATCTCTTCAGGTTAGATTGACCGATTTGGTGATTGTTCGTGAGAGCGTAATTTTGGGTTCTAACGACAGAATTTACAGGCTTTAGTGACAGATCTTGGGTGGTCACTAAAGGTGCAGGGAATTTCCAAAAACGTGTTTTAAGATGTGTAAATTGTTTCGAGCCTCTTCAGGTAGTATTTTCTGGGTTTAACAATTTTATAAATTGATGGAGGGATAGGAAACCACAAAAAAATGCTAGCGCCTGTGGAAGTCGGAGAAGTGGCAGAAGAAGACTTTTGATGTTGGGTTCATGCTTCTAGGAGTAATGGTTGAAGAATGG